TTCACTGGAGTCAGAGGTTCAGTGTAGTCAGAGGTTCAGTATGGTCAGAGGTTCACTGGAGTAAGAGGTTCAGTGTAGTGTAAGCATTCGTGTGCTGTGGAGGTACGCAGCTCTTTATTCCACGGCGTGCCTTGCAGGTTTTATTGGCGCATGTCGCTCCATCATCTGAACATTGTCATGTTGTTAGCCATTTAATAAAAAACATGTTACATTTTTTTTAATCATCTAAAACAGTCGCACTTTTGAATGATACACTACATTGACAGCTAAAATTGCAGATCATTTAGTGGGACAAAAATTTACTGGAAATAAAACAAAAGAGTAACAATCGGATACGTTCCACGGGACTTCTTTGAAGAACAAACTATTCCCGAGGTTTCCTCACAATGACTGGCAAGGTAAGAATCTTTTTTGATTAACTTGGCTCTGCAAGACAACAATTTTGGAACAGTCAATTCCATTGACGCCAATTTACGCTCAAACTTTCATTCCATCACTAAATGCTTAATATACGTCAAGTAATGTTTAGTTTGAATTGATTATATAGTATACAATCAACAGAAGGAAGTAAATAAAATGATTTTTTCAAAATCATAATCTGTAAAGTCAATTGTAAATGGTCGTCTGCACACCAAAACATTCTTTTGCTCAGTGGCTGGAATGGTGCATCTTGTGCTGCGCGACCTTCCTCGTCGTCATTTACACGTGGCCTCCGTCTACGAACGAGTAAGTAGGGGTATGTGTGTAAATATTTTTTAGTTTTTAGTATAAGTTGTACAACTTTGTCTGTGGATGCGTGAATAAATCATTTATTTAGTAGATAAAGAGGTACAATGGTACCCTGTTGCGCGCAGAGTTCAAGATTTTGTCCCAGATGAAATCCATGCCAGGAAAGCGAAGGCAAATTAATAGCGAATTTACCAGCGAAAAACCTCGTTAGGTCGAGCGGTGCGTCCAATGGATAAAGTATTGAAAAAATTGATTATACCTCAGACTTGTCCAATCGGCGACAGGCCAAATCAGGCCTGCTCTTCAGCGCCGACATCACTATATTATGTTAGGAAATGAGCTATTCTATGTTCCGATTGTTTGATTGGTTTATCAAGTGATTAATTCTCAGTACATTTTACTTCTATACGTCAAGATTCCAATCTATCTATTCATATCCATCCATCCAGTATACTCCTACTTCTACTTATACCTGATGAAGCAGTTAAAAGTTTGCGAAATACAATGAGCACTGTGAAAGGACTAAAATTTCCGTGTCTATTCAAATAGCTGAATTAAATTATCGCCTTACCTATAAAATAGGCGATGATTACGAAACCATGAAATTCATTGCTAGAGACATGATTTGCGTTCTAACGAATCGCTGTTAGAAAAATCACCGTTAAACGGTGTTATCGGCGTTTTAGTAACCGGCCGGCACGTGAAAAAAACACCGTGTTGCCATTTTTATTCCAATGTAACACTATAGAAACCCGTGTAACATCTGAAAAAACTGCGAAACGGTTCATTGTCACTGGGTTTGGCTTGACTGTGTCAACCGTTTTTTCTAACACATAGTAGTTTTTTTCTAATAGTGTAGTAAAATACTCGCTCAACTATTATTTTGTGCTCATTCTCTCGTTTCGTGTATAGTTTATTTTTTTATTTTTAAGGTTCGTTAAATTGGTATTAATTCTCAATTCCTGTTGAGCCCTGAAGGGAATGTAGGTTGGAAGCGTCTCTTTAAATCACAACTCCTTATATGATGCCAATGCAGATCCTTCAAAATGCCAAAAGCTGAAGGCAATGTGCGGAACAGTAGCATTTCCCATAACTTGTCGGATGATGCTAAACAGTCTCCACTGTGGTCGGACAAGAACGTCAGCCAAGAGGTGAACCAAACATCAGGTAAACGAGAGTTTTGTCAGCAAGCAAACAATCAGAGTGCAACAGTTGATCATCATAATATCATATAGTTTGCTGAATACACATCACACAACCAATCTAATCTATAGTCAACACAATGAATTGAACTCGCTGCTGAAATGCCGTGGTATCGAACATGCAGAAAATGACGATCAGTCATTCCAGCAACTGGCAGAAATCTCGGCACGAAATTCGTCGTCCGCCAACCGTGACTCAGAGCATCCAGAGATCCGGCACACAAAAACTGCCTCACAAAAGTCAGTTCAGAAACCGGTCACTTGGCTGCAGCTGGTGAGGGCGGAAATGCTTGCAAGACCTGCTGACCTGATCAGGGAACATGTGAGCGTAAGGTGAGACCAGTTAGTGGTAATTAAACTGAAAAATTTTAATCGAGCATAAATGATAGCTGCAGCAATTTCGTGAACTTATTCAATACTGAATGCTTATTTCAAACCTTGTACGGGTTTCTGTCTAAACACAAGTTCGTGAGCCCATAACAATATTCGTTAAATCTTGAATTTCACTGATTTAAATTAAAGCGAATCAATGGTTAGTTTACTTGCTATTTATTCTTCAAAATACGATGTTCGCATAATAACAGGCCTAGCAAAGTATTTTTTATAATCAATATAATCAATACAGGGCACATAGTATAAGTTATCATCAGTTTCTAGAATAATAATTGAGATTACAATGATAAAATTTAGCTGGTCATTTTGATGTACAAAATTGTATTAACAGTATTCGTTTGATCACTTCAGCCCAGGCAGATTAGCTCCTACTATGAACAAGGAACACCAACTAAAACATATTCTGTTTTGGAACCACGTGAGTCGAATTCATTCATGGGAGTAGCCATGATGGGATATTGTTCTTACAAATGTACCATTTACGTAGAATTTATTGTTGTTATACTTGCGCATGGTATAAATTTTTTGAGACATTTTTCGTAACAAAATTCTAAACTTGTTTAGGACGAAGCAAAATCATTAGTTCGATGTGTTTGTTTCCTAAATCGAGTTGAAGGAGAAATCATGGACTAGCAAGAAAAAATCCTTTACGCTGAAAATCAGACTAGATGATATATACTGTTTCTTCTGCATCATTCAAGCGTTATTCATGTTCGTAAAGCTAGAAACATTATACTTAGAAGAACATATCAACAGCATTTGCATACTATCTATCCACCTATCACGTTTTTCTTTGATGATGCTCCCACTACCCAAAGCCCACTTTCTACTTCGGCGTGGGCCAAGAACCCTTTCTGCGCGCCAGTTGCCCAGTGAGCAGCTGCTACATCACCACTAACCGCACTGAGGTTCCCTACCAGCAGCTCGATGCGCTCGTCTGGATATCCATCGAGAACGATAAGAGCTTCCCTCCAGTCAGGTGAATGAAACGGGCTGAAAATTTTATAGGGAAGATTAGCTGCATCGATGAAGGAAGATAAATTGAATTATGAACGAACTAATGATAATATATTACCATTGATCCCTACCTACACTAATAAAGTTTGACTGTTAAACTCCAGATTCTTCAGGTACTGACTCGCTTATAAGAACGAAAAGTTTATTGAAATTTTGTTAAAATTTTTAGAGAGTCAAACTGTGGCGGAGTGTTAAGGAATTTTTACCAGCCTTCAAACATGAACTAAATAGTTCTGCTAGTCTTAAAGATGAAATGAACACGCGTAACCGGAATCAACCGGATAACCTATTTTCATGCCTGCATTCCAACAGGTCACCGCACACTCGATACATCTACTATGAGTGGGAGCCTCCACTCGTGGCTGGATTGGGCAAAAAACAACTAGATTCATTGAAGTACGTCTTCAATTATACCATGACTTATCGGAGAGACTCTGACATCTTCAATCCGTGAGTTGAGTGGAGATGAAAAACTGAATCTGATATAAATTAAATACTTCTAGGACAATGTCAGTTAATGTAAAGATATAGCATTAGACCAGGCCGGCAAAAAGAGTCGATTTAAATACCCGTCGTTTTCTTTCGAAATTAGTTGTACCTTAGTAGTCACCATATTGCATTTTCTGAACGTAATTGCACGATTTTAAATAATATCGAATAATATCGTGCGTGCAGGATAATGAACACCGTTCATATCAGAAGTGCACTTCCATTTTTCTTAATTTTGATCAATATCGTTAGTTATTATGTTGACGATTGTAAATCACACTTTTGGGCGATAATTGCGATTGAGATTCCACATAACATGACCACGCATAACTTAAAAAAACAAATTAGAATTCATCAATGTTGTGATATATGATTGACTTTTTTTAAACAACAGAAAACTTCGATCATAAAGATTAGGACATCTTTCTTATAAGTATAAATTGAGTATGAGAACTAAATATTTTTAGGTACGGAACGTTTCGCGCTCTTGCGACACCTCGAGCGCACCTCCGGACTAAAGACTACGCGCGCGGGAAAAGCAAACAGGCGGTGTGGTTTGTTTCGAACTGCGGAGCCAGAAGCGGTAGAGACATGTAAGTTCACAATGTTGAGAGGGTGGAACTAGTCTCAGTCTCGTGCCTGGTCTAGGTCAATGCACTGAGCACAAAAATTCTGTGTGAAGATGAATTTAAAACCTCTTTTGAAAATGGAGAATGTAAACTCAGATCTAACAAACAAATTCCACCGTCACTCGCCGAATGAATTTTTATTAATTTACATTCTGGAGAAGTCTACAACCTTCTTTGTAGCATGAATATTTGGTCAAAACATTGGTGTTTTATAATGGTCCCGACATTTTGCATGATTTAACGATGCCCGGAAGTCATATTCGATCCGCGGCCTGGTGGTGCACGGCAGGTGGTGGTCAAGGCCGGAAGAGGACAAAGCCGGGTGGTGCACGGCTGATTGGTGTAGGCCCGGAGAGATCCAAGGCGTTCGATTCAGGGCTTTCTGGTGCACAATATTGGTGGTGCAAGGCTGCGCTCCCTGCAATACAGCAACTTATCTGCGTCGGGAATTCAGCATTCGGACGAACACTTTGGATTTGCCACCATCTTGGGTGCTGTCGGTCGCTCATATCACCAACAAGTCTTCAAAAAGCTTACAATTCAAATAAAAAGTCTCTATTCCGCTCAGATTTATGGATATTGGCTTCTTAGGTAGATAAATAGTCCACTTCAAGGGGGTTTACTTAATTTGGGACTCGAAAATACTGACAGCAACTTGACAAGTTCAAGAGCACGTCAGTCTCTAACCGTAGCCAGCAGTGCAGACTCTGAGAGGGGTTGGAGAACATCGTGTTTGGACCAGAAGATATGAAAATGAGTATCGAAAAACTGGTGATGTTTTCAGCAATGATAAAATCTCTCAATAATACGAATCATACAGTCAAAACTCATTATAAATGAATAAATCGCATGATAAATTCATCATATAACCCGTCAAACTCTTTGAACCGCTGAAAAGCTGTTAAAAAATTTTTAAGAAGAAATGTGATCATGCGAAAAGCAGAGAATTTATCGAAGTCTTTACTGTCTGTGGTAGAAATTATTAATGCACAGTGGAAATTTTTAGATGAATGATGCAAGCAATATCCTGCAGTCGTTATTTGCAACAATTTCGCGTTGTTGTTATCGGATTAATTAGGCAGTGGACGCCAGCGCCACTTCCGATAATTCTCCGATAATCCTCCAGAGAAATGAAGAAAATGGAGGGTTTAAAGGTACAACTAATTCAAAAGTGACCATATGCCAAGCAGGTTGAGCAGATAAGAATGTGCAGTTCATTCCGGTAAATAGGTATAAGCAGGTGGTCGGCAGAAGCATATTCGTACAGGTTTTCACTGTGAACTCTTACATTATTATGCTATGTTCATTCTTGGGGCAGGTTGGAGCAGGTTGCCCGCGCGGGCAAACCTGCTTTCACTGTGTACGTGTGCGAATAGTGCTGGTTTTGTAGCACTGTAGACATTGGCTTACTTCGTTCACTACTTCTCCGACAACTGTAGGTTTTCGGTGAACTATAGTAACAAACACATTATCCGCAACTTGCACTAGTATATCGAGGAAGGTCATAGACTGATTTAGTCCCAGTTCGTAGGTGAATTTTAATTTAAGAGTGAATTGAGTTCTAAAGCTAGGCGTAGCTCTTCCGAACGCGTTCCGAACAATGATATACTTTTTGGTCTTCAATGAAACATGAATGTATTTATATATATCCTTAAATTAAGTTACCATCATGAATTTGACCAAACAAATATTTTCAGGCAGCACTTAGTCTTAACTATCTCCAGTACTTAATAGAACCTAAAAAGAACAGAATTCAGCACACCAAGCTCGCGGCCATCATGATCTCGTTCCCATGGAATTTTATCCTCATATCTAGTTTTCAATAAATAATGATATACTAATACAAATCACAGAAATTTTAGCATTTATTAGGCCGTAGTCCAGTCAGTGATTCTTAACATCGTAGAATGTTCCCAGGTTTTTGCGGTCTCGAAAACGCAACTCACTGCATCAATTTTTGCTTTGCTGAACCGCACGGCCGCCAGGCCGATTCTTAGCAAAATCTGTCGCAGGTAGCTGGAATCGAACCTGCACCTCTCTGCTCCAATCCTAGTACTGAGTCTGAACTGTATAAGCACTGAGCCCAACAAAAAAAAACATATCTTTGATTGCCCAACAGTCTTTGAAAAAACCTTAACTTCTAACTAAGCAGAAAGCTTGGTTAAGTATAGTAATATCAAGTACGGTGACAATTACCTACACCATATTCAAGTTAGCTTTAGATGTTGTAACATCCCACATCAGCGTGCATATGGGATGCTTTTTGGCCTTATGATCTTGGAAACGCAAGCGAGCGGAGGGTGAAAAGAAACACGGCTTCGAATCAAAGTTAAATTCTTTATAGAGCTGCGTAGTTTGCAGCGCACCCCGAAGCAGCGGCAAAATTCCCGAGAGCGTCGGGAGTGTCGGAGTGCTGCCGCCGCACCGCGCGCGTTTGACAAGAAGTGACTGCCTGCAAATATGGAAACTAAGTTTGAGAAAATGATGTGAATCTTGCCAGAGCCGCCTGAGTTCTGGAAGCTATAAAAGTAATTCAATAATTTGAACTATATTGCGCACGACAATCACCTTTTTAATGTCCACGAGTGGCAAAAGCATAAGTGATCACAACGTGTGGGTATAGACTTATGAAACTGAAAGTAGAGGGCAGACCGACATGTCACTCCAAACAGTGCACTGCAACCCACCTCTACCGCAGTATATAGGCTTTTATAGAGTCCCGCCGACGGCGTGAAGGGATCAGCAGGAGACGTAATCAGCCCGCCGCTCTCCGTCGGGTGCACGCGTGTCCACGGAGTGCCACCTCACCGACGGGGTCGTCCGGAGAGAAGCTAGCCTGTCTCCATCTCATGATCGAACCAAAAACTACGGAGTAATCCGTACAAAGAGAAGGAAAGGCGAGAAAGGCGTCTTCATCAGGTGGTTGGCGATGAACTGAGATGGGCCGGCTGGCATGGCTGAAATCTCGAGGTTGAGGCGGAGACCTCGTATATGGCGGATATAGTGGGTGCAGTTCGACACGTTATATGGAGATAATACCGTCGGAATGGGTTTAAGGTAAAGACAGGTTAACATTGTGATCACTTAGGGCTTTACTATAAAATGGAATTAATGACCTTAGTTCTTAACATATGACCTTATGATGAATTTAGGACTTCTCGGTCCACGGTCACGCTGATGCGCCGCCTTCGTCGTCCTCTGTCTCCGCGTCGTCGCTAGGCAGGTCACCCTGCCCTCGGGTCCCAGATGTAACGTTGAAGTTGGAGTCTTAACACTCTCTCCATTCTCTCGCTAGCAATTACGCCGATTATCCCCTCAATATGCCAAATTATTATGGGATTAGTTAATTGCAACGGAAAGTATAATGAGGAGAACTGCTTTCGTGTACCTCCTTGCCTATATGGACGAAACAGGAAAGCTAGAAGATATGTTACAACGTGAAATGTTATTTTGCATCCACTATTTTACGCCGGTTCTGCTGTCGACGTACTAGTCCGATAATCCACACATTAAACTAGCTAGAGGATATAATAAACCGGTGGTTGTCAAACTGTGTGTCATGACTACAAAGGCACCTGAGCTATTTTCTGTGGATCATAGACGATCAAACTGTGCGTACCACACTAATCTTACCGGATTGTAGCTTAACTCTTAGTCAACTCTCCGAGTTGGCTAGAAATTACTAGTAGTTAAAGAAGCAAAAAACTAAGGTTTCTGCACTTTGGCATCTTATTTTTAGTATACAATGGTATGCAGATACTACAGTTCATCATCTGTGAAACGATACTACATAACGAGAGCTACAAGCCCCACAATCTGAAGGAACACTTCAACAAGGTTCATTCGAAAGTTATCAGAAACGAAGGATATACCTCAAAATAAAGATCGACCGATCCGCAGGGTAGATACTCATCACGAAACTGATAGTCTCTGAATTTTATTGAGGCATAATTCAAGGTCATCGCAAAAAATGAAACCACGCACACTGTGATCGATGCATGCCTGATCTTGCCTGAGAAAAGCAACTAATCTCATGTACGATCATAATTGCGTTGGGATCAGCCTGGTGCAACCACATATTTCTCACAGCTTTTTTAGCTTTTGGATTATGCTCGACTGATGTCTAAAAATCAGTTGAAGTTCCTGTGTAACAGTTCACCTATAATTACATACATTAGAAGCTGAAGGAGATATATCATGCATGATGTCGAACTTCTTATATATGAAATATTTGTTGATGTCATCGCGGAAGAATCCCCTAGCATACTCGGCACCAAGTCATGATTTACTAATAGTCAAAAGGAAAAATTCGGACGTTATTACTACACACCATATGATCCATATTAAGGCTGATCCACACTCTTGTCTCCAAGATGCTCCATTCTACCTCGAAAGCCACTTCGAAAACAGAACAGGGGTGGGCATCATCAGCCATATAAATTAAAGAAAGAGCACCGATCACAAGGCTGTTTCGTAAATTGATTCTGCCTTACATGAAAGTCCTTTTCTCCGTTATCTTACCTCTTCTCTTTCTTCATCACTGTCAAGTCGGCGTGAGGGAACCGGTTCGGTAAAAAAACTTTTTTATTTACGCACGGATTGTTTTTAAACTTGGTACACAAATGTTAAACAGAAATCGATGACTTTTTTGTTCGTGTTAATTTTTCGAAAAAAAAGAAAGAAAACGGCTAAAAAGGGAGGTACGGTAAAAATCTATCTCCTCATTCATTAAACATGCTACGACATCGAGAGATATATCATTCGCTTTGTAACGACCATATCTAATATCCATCGGCCATTTTTTGAATTTCGAATTTGTTCGGGAGGGAGGGGAGATTTTCAATAATTTTCCCAAATAATTACAAATTTTCCCTACCCTGACCCCCTTTTTCCAATATATAATCCAAACTATAACGAGATCGAAAAAAAATGATCGGATGGTTTCTAGAGATTTTTCTTACAAA